GCCCAGGCTGGAGTGCAGTGGAGTGATCTTGGCTCACTGCAACCTCTGCCTCATGGGTTCAAATGATTCTTGTGCCTCAGCCTCCGGGGTAGCTGAGATTACAGTCACATGTCACCACGTTCAGCTGATTTTTTTTGTATTTTTAGTAGAGACAGAGTTTCACCATATTGGCCAGGCTGGTTTCAAACTCCTGACCTCAAGTGATACACCGGCCTCAGCCTCCCGAAGTGCTAGGCTTACAGGCATGAGCTACCACACCAGGTCAGAAATAATATCTCTCAGGTAAGACCACACACACACCTCATATACAATCAATAAACTCCCAAAAGTAGAGATGAACATGTCACAGTGTAAGACAAAACAAAAATTAGAAATGAACAGCAAAAGCACACCCTAACATACTCACTTGTGAAATAAAAGGCGAAATTATACAAAATTTAGGAAATAATGGGAACATTACCTTTATGATAATCTGATATAACAAATGATAAAATGATTCTCAGAGGGACTTTTATGGTCATAACTCCATTCACTACAAACCAAAAGAGATGGAGAATAAGTGAATGAAGCAGTCAATTCAAAAAGCTAAAAAAAAAAAATACAACAGAATATATCAGGTAAACTTTTTAAAATGTAAAATATAAAATTAAAATTAAAAAATAAATTTTTTCAAAGAAAGTTGGTCTTTTTCGAAGAAAAATATTCAAAATCATGAATGAGAAAGGGACTATAGGATTATTATTTTCAAAATCATGAAAGCATGTTTTCATTATGAGTCAAGAACGCCTGCTTAAGCAACTCACAAGATCAAACACCATAAAAGGAAACATTCACAGATTCGACCCTACCAGGAAAAAAAAGAGTTAAAATCCTTGAGAAACCATAAACAAAAACAACAAATAAGTGAATGTGCAGAAAATATTCATTATATATATAAGGACTAAAAGCTATAATTGTAAAGAGCTGCTTTAACAAGAAAATCACATACATAACCAATTTTATTTATTTATTTGGAGACAAAGTCCCACTCTGTCACCCAGGCTGGAGTGTAAGGGCACCATCTCAGCTCACTGCAACCTCCACCTCTGGGGTTCAAGCAGTTCTCCTGCCTCAGCCTCCTGAGTAGATGGGACCGCAGGCGCACACCACCACAACCTGGCTAATTTTTGTATTTTCAGTAGAGATGGGGTCTCTGGTCTCAAATGATCTGCCCAAGTGATCTGCCCACCTTGCCCTCCCAAAGTGCTGTCCCCAAATTTGTAAACACAGAAAAGCTATACAAAGTTAATTCTCAGAGAAAGGATGGTAACAAATATTTGGAAGATTGCTCGGGCATACTAGCAATCAGGAAAAGTTTAGAGCGTAAGTTACCATTTTACCCCATCAGATTCAGCTTAGAGACAGGGTCTTGCTCCGTCACCCAAGCTGGAGTGCAGTGGCACAATCATAGCTCACTGCATCCTCAAGCTCTGGGCGCAAGTGATGCTCCCTCCTGCCTCAGCCATCCCCAAACCACCCCCAAAAACTGGGATTACAGGCACGTGCCACTGAGCCCTGCTAATTTTTTTTTTTTTTTTACAGAGATTAGGGGTGAGGTGTCTCACTTTTTTGCCTAGGCTGGTCTCAAGCTCCTGGCCTCAAGAGATCCTCTTGCCTTGGCCTCTCAAATTGTAAGAGGATTACAGGCGTGAGCCATCATGCCCACCTTCCCCCAAATTAAAAAATGTGAACATACACAGTGTTGAAAAGAGGAGGAAAAAGGTAACTCCCACATACAGTTGATGGGGGACTGTAGATTGACAGTATTTTTTGGAGGACAAATTAGCAGTATGTATTACATTTTAAATTCTGTATACCCCTTTAAATCAGTTATTCCACTTCCAGATATTTACCCCACAGAAGTACTTGAACATGTACAGATATATATGCATGCATAAAGATGCTTACTGAAGCACTTTTGGGGGATTAACAAAAAATGGAAACTTTCAGAAACATCAAAGAAAATAGTGAAAGGATTACTAAGCAGTCATTAAAACAAATGAGTAAATTTGTGGTACATACATCAAAAAAATTCCCAGATATAGGGCAAAAAGTAAATTACTGAATGCAAATGATGTAGTGCAGTGTCGTTTTAGCTATGTATCACACACAGGTACATGTATACATAGGCGTGGGGGCAAGTGTGACACACAGCCTTTCATTTTCTAACCATTGTATTCCCATGTTGTTTTAATGAAGACAAAATATATGTATTCATGTGATAATATTTAATTAAGAAAAAGCCAGCCGGGCATGGTGGCCACAACTGTAATCCCAGCACTTTGGGAAGCCAAGGTGGGCAGATCACCTGAGGTTGGTAGTTTGAGACCAGCCTGGCCAACAGGGAGAAACCCCATCTCTATTAAAAATAGAAAATTAGCCAGGCATGGTGGTGCCTGCTTGTAATCCAAGCTACTCGGGAGGCGGAGGCAGGAAAATCGCTTGAACCTGGGAGGCAGAGGTTGAGGTGAGCCGATCACCCCATTGCACTCCAGCCTGGGCAACAAGAGTGAAACTCTGTCTCAAAAAAAAAAAAGAAAAAAAAAATAAAGAAAAAGCCAGGCTCCATAGTTCATGTCTGTAATCTCATCAATTTTGGACGGTGAGACAGGAGGATCACTTCTGTCCAGGAGTTCGAGACCAGCCTGGGCAACATAGTGAGACCCGCCCCCCTCACCCCCAACGTCTCTACAAATAATTTAAGAAGAAGGAAAAAGAAGAGTTTCAGGCCGGGCGCGGTGGCTCAAGCCTGTAATCCCAGCACTTTGGGAGGCCGAGGCGGGTGGATCACGAGGTCAAGAGATCGAGACCATCCTGGTGAAACATGGTGAAACCCCGTCTCTACCAAAAATACAAAAAATTAGCTGGGCAT